GGCCAGCCAGGGGCGCTATTTGCTAGTCCTCCAAATTGCACAGAATCATAACAACCGGTTCTATAGAACCGGCAGAATCCGACCCCCTGAGTTGGACTAGATGACCTACAAGGTCCCTTCCCACTCTGTTAATCTGAAGTCACGAGAGGCAATTGTTAGGTTGAAACACCTGTAGAAAACCAATCCCCCCCCACCCTTCTGTCTCCAGGTAGACCTCAACTTACAACCACAGCTGAGTCCGAAATTTCCATGGCTAAACAAGACATTCGTTAAGTGAGATATGCCCCCGTTTTTTAGACCGCTCTTGCCACCGCAGTTAAATGAATCGCCGCAGTGGTGAAATTAGTGAGTTGGCTGTTAAATAAATCTGGCTTCCCCATTGGAAGGTCGCAAAAAGGAGATCTCAAGACCTTTTGCAACCGTCATAAGTACGAATCCGTTGACGAGCATCTGAATTTTGCTCACATGATTGTGGGGATCAGTGGTGGGATTCAAAAGTTTTTACTGCTGGTTCTTTGGGCGTGGCTTGGTGGGCGTGGCAGAGGAAGGATACTGCAAAATCTCCGTTCCCTCCCCATCCCACTAACCTGCTTTCCAGCTCCGTTCTCCTGTGCAGGACAACCAAAGAAGACCCAGCTGATTATCTGGGAACTCGATGGGAGGCAGAGAATAGATGGGGTTGGTGGGGCCAGTCAGAGGTGGGATTTGCTGGTTTTCCGAACTACTCAAAATTTCCGCTACCGCTGAATACCACCTCTGAATGGGGATGTTGCAATGGTTGTAAGTCTGAGGTTCGGATGTAAGTCATTTTTTTCCAATGCTGCTGTAACTTCAAAGGGGCATTAAACAAATGGGGGTAAATTGAGGATTACCTGTGTTGAGGTAATTCCCCGTTAGGAGAATGAGCGCATACAGGGAGACATATTTGAGAGTAGTGTTTGAATAATACACATACAGCACACAGATACACTGTACAGTAAATGTAGGTTTTTACTTCCAGACAGTTTCAGCAAAGTTTAAGATAAGCAGTCCAAAAGTCATTCACAGGTAAATCAGTCAGTTTTTCAATCCAGGGATAACCCAAATATCAAAGTCCAGTGTGAAAAAACAGTTCGGTATCAGACTTACATTAAATCCAGAAATAGCAGTCAATTAGGAAAAATGGAGGAACGGCAACACTTTCCAACAGAAGGAAACAGAGATACACTCACACTCTCTTCTGAGACTAAGACTAAAACAACCCAGGTTCCTGGCTTATGGCCGTTTGAGTAACCCCACCCAATTGCAGTTTTTAGCATGCTCTTAAAGAGACAGTATTAAAATGTCTATCCTGGTTTATATATTTTTAACCCAAATACATGTTAGGTGACTTATATTCCTAACAACCTGTATTCCTAATGGGAAGTTGAGGTGCATGAAAGAAGATTGGATTCGTTATTCTCCAGGTTGCTTGACAATACGCTGGAATAGGTAGGGGATCAGCTCAGTTCAAGAGTGGGCAAAATTAGTCCCCTGCCTACAATGAGCTGCGTACTCAGCCATAATTAGCAATTATCGCAACAACAATGTATTATGTTCACATGGAGATCAGAATCAAAAGGAGCCAAAATATCATTTTATTATCCTGTCCAGTTCACCGAATTTTGCTCTGGCATTTTTAACCTATTGATGTAGCACCCCCTAGTGGTCCTTGGAAGAAAATCACCCCAACAGAAAAAAAACATCTTTTGCAAATCTTTAGCTAAAAATGATCTTGATCATTGAGACGGTGGCTTAGAGATCCTCAAGCAGAATCTTGAAGTAAAGATTTTTCTAAAGATCAAATATTTGCTTTATTTTGAAATCAGACCCATACCTTTAAAAGGTATTTTGGTGTCATTTCTGATAGCTCGTAGGAGGTTTTGTAGTCTCCCAAAATGTTCAGCCTTATTTATTTAGTTCCTTATTTATCCTAATATATTGGAATGCTACTTTTTTTTTTGTTTTAGGAATAGACAGATCCTGCGCACTTCTTACTCGTATATCAGGCTGTAGAAAGTTAGTACCCACTCCACTTCTAGAAGAATGAAATATTTTGAGAAATATTTTTTTTAAAAAAGGCAGAATAATACGTTCCCCTAAAGGAGAAACACGCTCTTGGAAAGCAAACCCCACCTTTCTTAATAGCTCCAGAAAGACTAGGCCAGCCTATCTACAACACAAAAGACCGTCAGCAATTTCAGCCCCAGGGTGATGAGATTAGCCCTCACTCTAGATCCAAACCAGGACAAAGCCATTCAGACACAATAGAAATTGCCAGTGGTGGGATTCAAAATGTTTTACTACTGGTTCTGTGGGCATGGCTTGGTGGGCATGGTATTGGTTTGGTGGGCATGGCTTGCTGGGCATGGCAGAGGAAGGACACTGCCAAAACCCCATTCCCTTCCCACTCCTGGGGGAGGGTTACTACAAAATCCCCATTCCCTCCCCACCCCACTAACCTGCTTTCCAGCTCCGTTCTCCTGTGCAGGGCAACCCAAGAAGACCCAGCCGATCAGCTGGGACTCGGGAGGCAGAGAAGAGATGGGGTTGGCGGGGCCAGTCAGAGGTGGGATTGGCCAGTTCTCCAAACTATTCAAAATTTCCACTACTGGTTCTCCAGAACTGGTCAGAACCCGCTGAATGCTACCTCTGGACCCAAGCGTCCTCATGACATCATCTCAGAGAGTCCAGGCTTCAACCAAACTTATCTCAGACAACCTAAAAAGTTAGCTATGACCTCTACAACAGCCAGTAAAATGCACAGGAACAGGAAGTCCAAGGGCAAGGTCCAAGAGAGGGTATAACTGCCCCTCTCTCTCTCCACTCCATGTGGTCAGCTGCCCAGGACCTCAAACCCAGGTGGTCCTGTCCATCAATATACCATCCTTACAATCAGCCTCCATGTTTCCAGTGACCTTTTTCTCCCCACTTGGAATTGAGCCCCAAAGGATATTTCTTCCCACAGGGCTCAGTGTGCATTTTCATACAGTGCACAAGTGTATTTGTAAATTCACATAAGTGGGAATATCAGAGGATAATTGCGTTTCAGTTGGTGAACTCAACAAGGCGGCTGTCAATTGTGTACAAAATGAAAATCCAACAAACGCTTCTATTAGGGCTTGGCATATTTTTGAGAAGGATTTGGGAAGTGTGAACTTCTGGGGATGTTATCCATTCAGTTGTGTCCGATTTTTGGCGATTCCAGGAGTCAGATCTCTCCACATCTTCCAATCTTGCAAACCAACCAACCAACCAACCAACAAGCAAGCAGGATAATAAATCTGTGAAATGAAAACCCACACCGAAACGTTCGCTCTTGTCTTAAATCTTCCTTTTCTTTAATCCCCAGTTAAAATGAAATGTCTAAGTTCTTCACATATCTCTGCTCCTTCTTCTCAATTCACAGTGGACTCAACCGATAGAACATAGAATAATAAGAGTTGGAAGGATATTTTGTTTTGTGTATCAAGGATATCTTGATGGTATCTTGTTATCATGTCGTAGCAGGTTATGCAGGCATAGAATCACACATTCTGTCACATGTCAGGGAGAAGAGGGAATCAGCTTATTCTCCAAAGCATCTGAGGGCAAGACAAGAAGTAATGGGTAGAAGATGATTCAACAGAGAAACAAGGAGAACTAAGGAGAAATTTCCTCACTGTGAGAACAATTCATCCGCGGAACAAGTTGCTTTCAGAAATTGTGGGTGCTCCAACCCTGGAGGTTTTTAAGAAGAGATTGGACAGCCATTTGTCTGAGATAGTATAGGGTCTCCTGCTTGAACAAGGGGTTGGACTGGATGACCTCCCAGGTCCCTTCCAATGCTGTTATTCTATATTTCTAATGCTGCATTAATCGAGTGCTAATTAATCCAGAGCAAATGAGGTGGAAAAGACCTCCAATGTTACCATCTGTTTCAAACAGCCAACTCCATCACTGTAAATCTGTTGAGAAGAAATAACTAGAGGCCTTAAGAATCAGACCCAAAGCCAGCTCTTTAATCCGCTTAGGTGCCATGTCAAAAAAGCTTTTGTGCCCTGGTGGGAATTTTCTAAAGAACTTCAATAATCAATCCCATCTCCTCCTCCTTGAGATATTCTGCTTCAGCTCACATTTAACCATGGGAAAATGTCCCCTGTCCGACTGCCCATTCTGGAGAAGGAAGGAAGGAAGGAAGGGAGGGAGGGAGGGAGGGAGGACCACAGAGAACCACTGTACAGGCAGTCCTCTACTTACGATAGTTCATTTAGTGACCGTTACAAAGTTACAACAGGGCACTGAAAAGAGGGACCTATGATCTTTTTTCAGACTTATGACTGTTACCAGCAGTTCCATGGCAACGTGATCAAAATTCAGACACTTGACCACTGACTCGTATTTATGACGGTTGCAGCTTCCCGGGGTCGCGTGATCTCCTTTTGCGACTGTCTCACAAGCAATGTCCATGAGGAAGCCAGATTCACTTAACAACCGTGTCACTAATTTAACAACTGCAGCGATTCCTTTAACCACAGGGGCAAGAAAGGTCATAAAATGGGACAAAACAAACGTCTCACTTAGCGACAAAAATTGGGGGCTCAGTTGCAGTCCTAAGTCGAGGACCACCTGCATTGGAGTCTTTGTTTTAAACCAGGCGTCCCCAAACATGGCCACCTTAAGACTTGTGGACTTCAACTCCCAGAATTCCCCAGCCAGCTATGCTATGCTACGTTTGGAGGCCTCTGTTTTAAACTCACCTCCCTTTTTCCATGTTTCTTCTTCCTTTCATTTATGAGTTTTAACTGATTTGCCTTAAAAATTTTTTTTAAAAAAGAAAAGTTTACCAGAAATCCAGGCGTGATTTTAACCAGTCAATGCATTAATAAATGCTATTCCTCACTTCCATTTTGTTCCTTGCTACCTGATGACACACAAGGGGGGGGAAAAGAGAGATTTCACAAGAAGTTAATAATTCACAATTATTAATTTCTAATCGTAACAACTTCCTTAAGTGGCTGTCGTCCCGCCCCCCCGCTAAGTTTTAACTCTGAAACTGCCCAGTTCCTTTTATTCTCTCTTTATTCTCTATTATTTACCATTTCTACAGCTAATTCTCAACTTATGACCACAATTGAGTCCCCAAATTCTGTTGCTAAGCAAGACAGTTGTTGTTTTCCCCCCCATTTCACGACCTTTCCAGACACGGTTGTTAAGTGAAACACTGCAGCTGGTAAGTTGCACATAAATAAAATTGCCTTCTTTTGGCGGGGCCTATATACCGTATTTATCGGCGTATAACACGCACTGGCGTATAACACGCATCTTCATTTTAAGGGGGAAATTTCAGGAAAAAAAATTTAAAAAAATTCTGCCTGCCTGCCTTAGTTTCTGGTTGTTTGGGAGCAGCTTCGGCTGAGAATAATAACTATTCGTCTCTTTTACTCAGCCGAAGCTGTTCCGATTCAACCATTAACGAAGGCAGGCAGGCAGGCAGAACGGAGCACTGCGGGCGGGCGGGCGGGCGGACGGGGTGGGGGTGGGGGAGAGGCGACAGGAAAAGCCCCCCCCCGCTTCTTTGAAGCAGTTTCTTCCTGTGCTGGTGGAGGAGCGAGAGAGCAACTGAGAGAGCTGACCCAGAGAGAAGGACAGGCTTCGGTTGCTTCCTCCCTCCCCTTCTTTCATTTGTGTCCTTGATCCCCGATCCCAGCAGCATTCACCGAAGGCTTCTTAACATTATATCGGCGTATAACACGCATACATCATTTGCCCCCTATTTTCAGGGGGAAAAAAGTGCGTGTTATATGCCGATAAATACGGTATCAATTTCTCCCAAACCCCTGAGGAAAATTTTCTATTTAGACCCAATCACGGCTGTTGTTCCTCCTATTTAATATAGATAATCCTCGGCTTACAACCATTCATTTAGGGATTGTCCAAAGTTACAATGGCAGTGAAAAAAAAAAAAAGGACAGGTCCTCACACTTACAACGGTTGTAGCATCCTCACAGTTGCGTGATCAAAATTCAGGCACGCGTTGAGGACCGTGGTGCGGTGGCCTGGAGGTGGTGCTCTTGCCTCACAATAAGGAGGCTGTCATAGATAGAGGCGGATATTTCTCTCTCTGGGCACGATGAGAATTGTATCTGCTGAATATAACTCTGCATTGCCAACAGGAAGGGCATCCAGCCAGTAAACGCTCAGCTCCATTCAATTGCTTAAGACTCCACCCCTCAAGGGGTTGTGGGGTCATTAAAAGGAGATGATGATTGATGATCGTCTGCTTCACAGTCATGTGATCAAAAGTCAGGCGCTTGGCAACCGGCATATAGAGGCGGTCCTCAACTTATGACCACAACTGAGACGAAAATATAGTGTTGCTAAGTGAGAAATTTGTCAGGTGCGTTTTGAAACCATTTTATGACTTTTCTTGCCACGTTTGTGAAGTGAATCACTGCCGATGTTAAATCGGTAGCCTGGTCATTAAGCTAATCTGGCTACCCCGTGGACTTTGCTTGTCAGAAGGTTGCAAAAGGGGATTACGTGACCACCCCCCCCCGGGGGGACACTGCAAACCGTCATAAATGTGAGTCTACTGTCAAGCATCCGAATGTAAATCACGTGAATGTGAGGAATGCTGCAACGGTCATAAATGGTCTTCAGTTACTATTTTCAGTGTCATCGTAAACTTTGAATGCTCGTTAGGTGAACTGTTGTAAGTTGAGGACCACCTGTATTTACGACAGATGCAGCATTTCAGTGTCAGGAGTCCGACATGCACTGTGATGGCCTGGGGGGGGGGTACAAAATAAACACAGTCACAAAAAAACAGGTGAAGCCCCTTTTATTTCTTCACTTTGCTTCCAAGCTCCAAATATCCTTGACTGAAGACAAAAAAACTCCCACATAAACAGTTACAAGAAGGAGGGAAAAAACAACACAAACCAGGCAAGATAAGGGCTGGAGGACATCCACAGATAACAGAACACCCACTGGGAAGGACGTCAAACTCAGAGAAGAACCATAAACTAGAGATATTTCCACACTTTGTTTCCAGCGTTCGCCCGTATGCATGTCCGTCCTCTTATTCAGTGGTCACAGCTGCAGCCCATGAAGAGAATCAAGGCCCTCTCCTCCCGAGTAGACCACATCTCTTCCTTATCCTCTCCTCCTTGCGTGTCCTAGGATGGAGAGGGGATGTGCCTGGGTCCTCCTCTGACGGCTCAGCTGGTCTCCCCTTTCCCAACCTCCTCCACAACCTCTGGAGCCACACTTCCACTCCCTGTTAGCTGTTCCTTCTCTCCCTCAGAGTCAGTCTCCACTAGGGGCATGACATGCACCTCCATTCAAATCATAAGTCTCTAGCCGCATCTCTCAGAGTAAAAATGATTGATTTATTAGGAGTTGACATGTTGGCGTTTCCCAGTTGCAGCCGACTCTGACACATCATTCATTTCACCCTTGACCCTGGTCTTCCTCCCATCCCCTGGATGTGTATTCTCCAATGGGACACATCCATAGCCAAGAGTCATCAATCATGCTCTCCAGATTCAATAAAAATAAAAAAAAAATGCTCTCCAGTAATAATCTTACGCACCAGAAGCTTCGGCTACCAAAGCAATTATCTGAAGCATTTAAGGAATGCACTGCTTTCCCCCAACTCCCTTTCTGCTGGCAATTAAAAAGACCAAGGAAGTATTTTTTTAGTTGACACACATGTGATCAACATTTGCGACCTTCTGACGCAAAAAGGCAGTGGGGAAAGCTGGATTTGCTTACCGACCACATGATTCATTTAACAACCTCAGTGGTTCACTTAACAACCATGACAAAAAAGGTCATAAAATTGGGTGTAACTAACTTAACAACCATCTCACTCGGCAATAGGAATTCTGGTCCCAGTTTTGGTCGTAACTCAAGGACTAGCTGTACTGAAGTCTCCTAACAAAGCACTGCGAAACCTCCTCCCTTGCAAATTTCTGATACAGATATTCCTCAACTTACAAAAATTCACTTAGGGACCATTCCACGTTACAACGGCACTGAAAAAAGTGACAGGACCGTTTTTCACACTTACGCACTGTTGCCGCATCCCAATATTCACGTGATTTACTGTTGAATACTTGGCAATGGACTCACACTTATGATGGGTTTGCAGTATCCTGCAGGGGTCACGCAATCCACTTTAGTGACCTTCTGAAAAGCAAAGGTCAACAGGAAGCCACCTTCGCTTAACAAGCCAGTTCCTAAATAAACCACAGCGGTGATTCAATTTAACAATCATGGCAAGAAAAGTTGTACAATGAGGCAAAACTCACTTCGCGAATGTCTCCCTAGGCCAGATAAATGTTGGGGCTCAATTGAGATTGTAAGTCGAGGCCTACCTGTACGGCGAAGTAAATCTTTGCAGAATTAAATTTTTTTTTTTTTTTTGTTCTCACCAGCCCAAGCTGGCTTGACATATGAGCCCCTGGAATGCCTCAAATACTGTTTCTCCTGGTTGAAATGTCAGGGCATCCTTGGCTCCTTTCGCTAAATCTCGTGGTGTGTCCTCCTGGCTCTTTTGTTATTACGGCACATTAACACACCCTTTGATCAGCGATGACTCCTCATTCCTTCTCACTGTGGTTCCTCCTTGACCTGTTCCAGTGGGAGGTTTCTTAACCCAGCCAGCTTTGATGGGTTATGCTGTTTGGAATAGGGTGGCGGTCATTCCATCGAGGACCTGCATACTGCACGAGTCAAAAAGAGGGCTGTGAAAATATTTATAGACCCCTCACATCCCGGACATAAACTGTTTCAACTCCTACCCTCAAAATGATGCTATAAAGCACCTCACACCCAGAACAACTATTTATTTATTTATACTTATTTATTTATTTGTCAAAAGCTTACAATATAACAGAAACAAGAATAAACATAAGTTTAAATACAAGAGATAGGAACTAATAATTGGGGACGATAGGACAGGGACGGTAGGCACGATTGTGTGTTTATGCACGCCCCTTACAGACCTCTTAGGAATGGGGTGAGGTCAATAGAAGTTAGTTTGAGGGTAAAGGAGGGAGGGTTTGATCAGGTGACAACAGAGTCAGGTAGTGAGTTCCAGATATTGACCACTCTGTTGCTGAAATCATACTTCCTGCAATCGAGTTTGGATTAGACACAACTAGACACAAGGACAGTTTTCCCCCGAAAGCCATCACTCTACTAAACAAATAATTCCCTCAACACTGTTCAACTATTTACAAAGTCTGCATAACTATTACTATTAATCTTCTCATCACTCCTTATCACCCATCTCCTCCCACTTGTGACGGTATGACTGTAACTTTGTTGCTTGTATCCTTACGATGTATATCGACTGTTTCCTAGTATGATTTGATTGCTTATTGTACCTGATGTTGTACCTGATGATTCTTGACTCTTGACGAATGTAACTTTTCTTTTATGTACACTGAGAGCATTTGCACCAAGACAAATTCCTTCTGTGTTCAATCACACTTGGCCAATAAAGAATTCTTTCTATCTTCTATCTATCTAAATGGAAGGAATTAGACGAAGGAAGGATTTTAACAATTGAAGGGAGAAAATATCCATTTTGACGTTCACGGGGTATGTTGGTGGTGATAAATTCACACGGGGGAGGGGGCCTTTTTCAAACCCAGAAAACACCCAGAATTAATGGCACTGGTGGGCTGCTGCTGATTCAGACTGGTTCGCCTGTACTGGTAGTTTCAACTACCAGCTGGGCCCACCCACTCACCCCGTGTTATCCTGTCCTATATATCTCACTCTGTGGCTCGCTCGCTCTGTCTGCACAGCCTAGCTGATTTCCACGCCTCGCCTGGTCTACTCACTGTGGTTCCCCTAGAAGGTGTGCTGGAAGCCGCGCGCATGAAATCACAGTGTGTTTGAAGCTGTGCGGAAAGACGGAAGACACACGCGCGTTCACATTTTCGGTTCTGCACTAAGCGAATCGGTTGTTAAATTGTGTGCAGCCCAGCCTCTGATTAATGGGGCTAATTCCTTGGGTAGTGAATTAGCCCTGTTTTGCCAGATATCTGCAGAAAACTGAATCAGGAATTAGCCAAATGACCTGGGTTGACACAAGATACTAATTAACAGATTAACAGAGCTGGAAGAGAACTTGTCGGTCATCTAGCCCAACCCTGCCACTCAAGCAGGAGACCTTACAACATTTCTGACAGATGGCAGAATATATAATCTTCTGCCTTTTTTAATATTTCCCAAACTATTTCCTTCTTCTAGGAGGGGAGGGTCTCTGTACAATTGGGAACAGCATTGATGATGTTACCTAGTTGGGTTATGAAATGTCTTCAAGAAAGCTGCCAAGCACAGATAGCACCAAGGACCCCACAGTTCGACCCTGAGCTGCAAATATTCTCTTTTATCTTCTTCTGATTATATTTCATCTCTGCTCTGTTTAAACTTGAAATTCTGACCTCATAGCCTCTGCTTTCTTGCGTTATTGATCTACTTGAGCTGGAGACGGAATAAGCCATATATTATTACCTTTAGAGTGTTGTCAGGCCACAATTCTCATTGCCCCTGGCAACACTGGCCTAAGATAATAAAGCTGCAATTCACAATTCGATCCAGAAGTTGTGTTAATGAGGTGTCCCAAATCACATTTTTCTCTTCTTGGGAAATCCAAGCTTGGTTTTTCTCAGCCTCTTGACCTTTACCAACGGAGTGATTAACCACATATTTAATGAGAACAGGAGAGAAGGAGCCAAATGTGGTTTCTGGGGAACCAGCTAGCATGTCTATTGATGGTGAGGCCCTTGTGGGAATTATTGAAGGGCCTTGAACTTTTCTTACTCTGAGGGAGGCCAAATAATTAGATGGGATTGTGATATTTAGAGGCATTCGGCCTATTTAGGAATGCCCTGGGAAAGTTCACTTGTTCGCAAATGTCAGCCAGGACATAAATTTAGGGGGGGGAAACGAGGCCATTTTTTGTCTCTTCCTTTTTATAACAGAACAATAGCAAACTAACAAAACCAAAATATTTGAAAGATCAGCTGCCTCACATTAATCTAATTAAAATAGATTCTCTCTGTATGATTTAATTTTCTATTCTAATGAGACACCGCACCTGTGTTCTTGGAATACAAGGGGGTGAACCAAATTTTAGGTGTCTCCTGCAGATATCCAGGTTGGCCACAAAATGGGG